TATATATATATTATATTGGATGTTTGTGATTTAGGGCGCATTTGGCACAACATATTTGGCCGTTCGGTGTTTGCGTTTTGAAAACGCCAAACTGTCAATGGTTGTTCGGAAACGTGTGACGGATTTTATTAAGGAATCACAACCGCGAGATCGACCCCGCAGTCTGCATTCCGCCCAGCTTATTATTGCTGAGCCCCTCGATCTCGTCCTCGTTCTCGCCTTGTTGCTCTAGCTCTGCAATCAAATTACCATACCGGCGCCTCTCTCGTCTCCCCTTCTCTCCCTTCTCCGTTTGTGGTCTGGTTATTAGCCCTGTCTTGGAATTTCTCTCTGAGAACGTTCTGCACACAATCGCTCTGCCTTCTAAATAGTGAACATATTAGGCAATCCCTCTTACGGCTTATAGTTTCGCACGGGTCTTCTTCCATCTAAGGAATTGACAATATCCTTCTATGTTTGTTTTCTTGGATTTTTTTCCTTTACTCTGTGAAATTTGTTTTGGTAATTATTGGTTTTAGTTCCTAGAGAAAAGTTCTGAAGTTTGTTGGTTTAGATTAATGATTTTCTTTCAAACATTGTGTGGCAGGCATGAGTACATGGTGGAAAAGCTCTTTCCTTTTGCATAACCTGTGTTTTGTAAACAGCTTATCTAGATTAGGGATAAAATTATCATTTATCCAGAAACAACTGCAAATCAGCTATTTTCCAAACGCACAAATCAAACAACCAACCAGCTTATCAGGATAAGTTACCCTTAGTTGTCATCTCTTGCATCCAAAGTGATATGCATTAGTTTCTTAATTTAATTAGCAATAGTTGGGATGATGGTGAAGATGATAAATATAGAAGAAAAAAAAAATAGAAAGAGAAAGATATTAGGTAGAGCTTTATAATTAATCCCCTAGAACTAGAACCCATAATACAAAGCTCACCTTCAAAATATCTTTAATTTATGTGTCACCCTCACATGACGTTATGTTAGAGTCAAAGATCATATAGAGAATGATATTGGCATAATATGATTTAATGTTATAAAGTAGCATCTTCGGAAGGTGGCAGTTATGATAAATCTTCCTGGAATAGTTGAGTTGCCATGACACCATTTTGAGTGCTCAAACTTAACCTCTTTGTAACATTAATAGCTAAGAACTTCTTTTATAGAATTATATCTCATTAACTTAAGTGCACTCTTCTCTCATTATTCAACTTAAAAATATTGCAAGAATAAATAATATATCAAATTTAAAAATTTTGGACCAATTATGTTGATTTTAATACTCATGTTGATATGACGTGGTTAGATTTATAAGCACTAAAGATCCCATCTATGTTCTTTCAGAAGTTAAAAGTTGTGAAAAAAATATTTAAATGTATCAGTTGAAAAGTCGCTTTAAACTTTAGATATGTTATTTCTCCCTTAGGTAGATCAAGAAGAGATTCTTTATAAAGAAGAAAATGATCCAAGAACTATTAGACATACTATTAAAGCTCAAAATATTCACCAAGAATATAACTAGATTGCTATTTTTGGAGCTAATTGATTAAGCAAATAGTTAAGATGACCAAGTGAGAAGATGACCTTCAATTTTTAAGCAATTCCAATAAAATAAGAACAACTTCAATTCTATTAATGAGCTTTTTACAAATTCTAGAATGGTCAACAATAGTGAGGATATTCATATGAATGTTATTCTTATGTTTCTCTAATTTCTTAAAAACAATGCTTCTTCTACTCTTTGTAATCAAGTATTGCTTGTGGGGAACACTACCATAGTGATAAGGTATAATAAGAAATATACTAATAAGAATACGACTTTGTTTTTTCTTGACACTTATTTGTTGAATAAATAATAATAATAATAAACTCTCAAACATTTATATTAATTTATATCATGATCAAGCTATTATGAACTAAAGCAAATAATGATGGTTGAAATTTTGTTGTGAAGATTAAAATTTTTGTGGTAATGTTATGGCAAATATGAATAACTTTTGATTCATTAAATAAATAAAATTTAAGTGTTATGCATGAAACGATCTTTTAAAATAATTGTTTCTTATCCTCTAAATTACTCTTAGGTATTAGTTTCAAACGCTTTCCTATTTTATATGTACAGTGATTAATTATGTTACACTCCTAATGAACTCACAAGAAAATTTCAAACCAATCTATAAAATGATCTGCACTAGCAACTTTTTTATTTTGGCACGCGACATCAATTTTTTTATGATTGGTGTATGCTAGAGATATATGATAACATAGTGAGTATTTCATTTCTTAGCACTGAATAAATATCTGCAATGACAAATAAAGGATGTTCACAAGAGATGGAAGACTTTCTTATGTTAAAAATCAAGAGGAGGAAAACCATGATGCCTCATCCAATTAAAATAATCCACTATGTAATTAAATATTATTATAATTCTAACATTCTTCTCAAAGACAGGGGTCTAGCTTACGAAGTCTGGAATACTAACATGATACTAAGAGCGGTAGAATGCTAAAGAAATTACGAGTTATGGTAGAAGTCAATTTTCATCAATTGTGTCAAGCAATGATGGTCTTTATTAGATAGAGAGTGATGATAATTATATGTAGGTGGTCAAATGACAACAGATGTTGTCATTAGAATATATATGAGAGCCTAATTAAGGTGGGTGTTGTCATTAATTACCAATAAGCTATGATGATCTTGCTAACATGGTCGTCTGATGAAAGTGGATGTTAGCACTATTTAGCAGATGTTAATGATAATTATTGTTGTTGAACATTGTTATCGAAAGTAAAGCATAAACTTTAGGATACTTCAATCGGTGAGCTCTCTCTTCAATTTCAAATCCTCTTCATATTTTAAATAAGCCTATTTATAAACTTTCAAAAAGAATTTTAGTTATATATATAAAAAGTTCCTAACATCCTATTGTATAACATTTATTGGTTCTCTTAATCATACTAATTTAAAAATTAAGTGCTCAAATTAAGAAACTTATTTCTATTATAAGATAGTATGATTCAACATGATTCTTCAAATAATAGTACAAATTTAATAATTATAATTTGAATGTTTAAATTAATTTGGTAGAAGTCAATTTTAATAATATTCGTGACTGCGTGCAATAAGTTGATCCCGCGGTTTGCAAAAAAAAAAAGCAACCAACCAAATAAATAGGCAAATCCCCTCGCTACCCTCGCTTTCATGCGTGTGCCCTAGCCATTCATTCGCCCCTAGTTTTGTTCCCTTCTACTTGCATTCCTCTTGCATTTTATCCCCATCCATTTGGGTTTCATGTGTATGCAAATGGGGAATCTCGGTGGGATGTATGCTAATGCAGCTATTAGTACAAGCAATTATTACAAATGGTCACAATACATACAGTTTTTCCAGAGACATTTCTGCAATTTTTACAAATTTGGGTTTTGGATTGCTTCTCGTCTTTCTCCCAATTTTCTGTGAGTAACATGCATTATGTTTTCTGAAGATATATGTAAAGATATGTATAGGAAATGCCCGGTATGTATGTAAATTTATATGTGAATGATGTTCCATAAGATGTTTTTTAAGACATCTCTTTGCTTTTAAGGTGTAATCAGCCGATGCATTGGCTTCTCTACTTGTACAAGTAAATTTTGTGATTTGACTACTTGTTTATGCCTCTTGCATTTTAGTAGCTGCTTCTTTATTCAAGCCTTGGTTTCTTTAGAGGATTATGCTGTGCCATTTGACCAAAAGGGTTCTTCTGGATGACATTCTTTTTATGCATTTCAGCATGCACAAATTTGGTCTTAAGTGTTTTAGCAACCAAGGTCCCCTGAATTATGGTTCTATTGCTTTCTTCTGATGACAAATTATTCACTGTCATGTGTTGACTATGAAACCTGAGATTTTCTTATTATAACCTTTCACTATTTTAATATTTAAAAAAAAACATGGAAGATTATGTTGTAAGGATTGCTTGATGGCTCCTTTTGCATAACTATTACAGTTTTTTTATTGATTATTTATTATTTAGTTTAGCCTGTGAAAAGGTTTATGGTTGCAGCACTTGTTAGATTTATGTCAGGATTTGATGATTTCTTATGGTTCTGTTAATATTTACCATAATTTGTCCCATGGTTTTATCAGTGAAAATAACTTGACAAATTGTCTTTGAATTTAATCCACAGGCAGCACTTTCATAACTGTGTTTTTCAAACAATTTAAACTGAATTGTGTTTATATACTAAGCGGTAATACATTGATCATGTCAACAAGCAATACTTTCATAACTGTGTTTTTTCAAACAGACTAAGTACTTTCGAAACACCAACTTCTGAACTGCAAATTTTCAACAGCAGCTTCTGTAACCAGCTTTTCTAAGACCATAATCGAAGCAACCACACCCTTAAACTTAACAAACTCGTTCAAAGGAACTCCCAGGAATGCTGACATGCTTAAGAGAA